TCTCTCTCTCTCTCTCTCTCTCTCTCTCTCTGGATCAGCTCACCACTGTCCCAGGGAGAATCCCCCCCCTCTTCTCAATACAAACAGAAGGAGTGGGGCAAAAGAGAAATAGATACCTCAAGTGAATTCACAGTCTGCTGCCAAGTATCTCTATGGGTAAATGTGATAAATTTGGGCAAATTCTTTGCAAAGTAGTCGTGTTGGTGGCGGTTACTCAGCACTGCAGCAAGGTGATAAATGGGCGAATGAAATGCTCTGAAAACATTGACACCGAAGAGCGAGCGAGTGCTCGACAACTCATCAGTGCAAGAAAAGAAGAAAGAGAACAGTACAGTACTGATCTACTCAGGGCAAGGGACGAGGTGGTGAGGAAAGGAAAGGTGGTAAGGAAGGAAAACGACACACAGACAAACACAGGCAGGCGAGAGAAGCTACAACCTTGAATGGCAATGAGTCGCTCAGCTATATTTGTGGTGGTACGAGTCAGTACGAATTATCGTCTCTGAGGAGCCAGCCAGGCAGCCAGCAAAAAAGACGGCAGGCAGGCAGGAAAACGAGGGAGAGGGCTTCAAAAGCCTAAACACACATCTTCTCCACTCTAAAATTAGCGCCAAAGTTCGCGAAGGAGAGAAATCTCCCACACCAACTTCTTCCCAGAAAAAAGCAAGCGAGGGGAAAGGGAAGGCAAACACTGCTGCAACAGCTGCTGCAGTAGACAGAAGCCTGGAGACATCTACTCACACACACACATCTGCACTCTCATTCAGAGGAAATTTGACAGTAGTAGGTTTGACTAATCAATCAAAGACGCGAATCGAACTTTGCGACTCTGTCGCCAAGGAAGGAGCAGTGGACTTACCGACATCTTGCTGGTGCTGGTTGTGGTGGTGTTTTTAAGTGGAATGGAAGCAGAGAATCGGGCGTTGGAGCTGGTTGTTGTGGCGATCGTTGAGAAGTTGAGGTGAGCGCGAAAATTCTAGACAGCGCACGTGAGTTTGTGATGATTGTGTGTGTGTGTGATTGCTGTGGTGAGTGTTTTGCTCCTTCCTAGTGCTCCCCCACTACAACAAGAGAGCGCTGTTTGTGTTTGTCGTCGTAAGACGTTGAGCAAGACACTGGCCAAAACAAATTCAGTCATTTGATTACCATGTTTACAATTCTAAAGCTCTAAAGTATAAAATGTTGATGGGAAGATGAAAAGGGGGATGTGGATGTAAATGTAGTCGAGGATGAGGATGATGGTCTTTCAATGGTGTTGCTGTTGTTGCTCTTGGTGCTGTGGATGGTAGTGGACGTTGACAGACACGTCCATCGATTGCATTATCTGCCGGCTAGTTTGGTGGCTGGCGAGCAAGCAAGGTGGCAAGCTGACAGAGAAGCAGGCAGGCAAACAAGCCAAGAGCAAGCAAGAGTTGAGGCCGTTTTCTGTAGTGGCGAAGAGAAAGGGGAAAGAGAGAACAAAAAAGGGAAAACTAAGCTGCTGCAGTTCAGACGGGAGGAGAACGACAACAACTTTTCAGGGACTTCTTATTCTTCGGTTGCTGCTGCTGTTGCTGTCGTTGTTGCGGTTGCCTCCATCAACGAGTAGATCACTTTCGATTGTTGCAGACTGTGGCTGTGGCTGCGGCTGTGCTCACACTGCGGAGACACAACGAGGCAGAGTTTGGCACGTTGACGTTGTCAGATAGGCTGCTGCTGCTGCTGCGGCTGGCGCTGGCGCTGCATGTGGTGCAGGAGTAAAGTAGTAGAGGCGAGTGAAGAAAGGAACGACGATAAGACACACTACAGACAAACGTGATAAGCAGCGCAACAGCTTTCTTCAGCACAACAAGATCAGCAGCAGCAGTGTCGCCTTGTCAGTGTCCGTCGTCCAAGACAGAGTTGCAGAATTGTTGAGACACTGCTGCTGTCACTGGTCGATTGGGGTTTTTTTTCCGCCTTCTTCAATTCAGCTGATTTATATTGGGGTGCCAAGGTGCGCGAGAGGAGATTTGGCAATTTGGATTTTTTCTTCCAGAGCGAGGAAGAAATCGAAGCTGCTCGAGATCGTGTCACCGAGTAAGTGAGGAAGAAGAAGAGCTGCACTGAGCTGCTCCGTGCCGCTGTGCTCTGTGATTAGTGCTTACTGGCCGCAGCTTCTGGAAAAGTACCCGGCTCTCAAGTACGGATTCATAAGGAGAAGGTAGCAGAACCAGGGGCCAATTCATTGAGTATGTTTGTGATCGGGCATACTACTTCATCTGTGCGCGCTTGGCTGCGCTCAAGTTCGGGTAGTTAGAAGTCGGCTGTTCGCGGGAAACTGAAGCCGGCAAGTAGAGTGAGTGAGTGAGTGAGTGAGTGTCCTTTCGGAAGAAGAGAATATCCCCTCTCGCTGCAGTGTGAATAAATAGGCGAGCAGTCGTACAGTGTGTGTGTGCTCAGTTTTCTTCAGCCCAACTTCAGCCTGTGTGTTTCCGTGTTCGTAATAGACAGTGCACACAGCGGAGAATGCTGTATATGTGTGTGTGTGTTCAGTGCCAATGAAATAGTGCGTCTCCTCTCTGAGACTGTTCAGTAGTTGCTGGTGGTGTCCGGTCAGTGAGTCATTTAGTGAATAGTAAAGAGGAAGGGGGAGTGTGTGCGGTTGGAACGGTAGGCAACCAATGCTGTCGGTGATGCAGTCGGGCAAGGAAAGTGTTGAGAAAGTGCTGCCTCCGATTAAGTGGACTGTGTGCTCAATGTGCGATTCAGTGCTCTGTGTGAGTGCAGACAGCAGAGACAGACAGTAGTGTCTCGAAGAGTAAGTAAATTGGTTCCTGCGAAGTGCACAGCAACTGTCTATTGTCTGGCGGCGGCGGCGACAACTCAGTATTGTCAGCTGGCCAAGTGCTACTGGCAATTGTACTGAGGAGAGGCTGCTGCTGTTGCTGCTGTTGGCTGGCTGGCTACCACAATTTGACTTGAGGTGGGAGGGCGGCAGACGGTGACGGTGGACGAATACCTGGGCAGACAGACAAACAGACTGAGTGACAGGTGCTATACTGCCGTTGCAGCAATCTGCGGCGGTTCGCTCTGCAGTAGCTCGTCTTTCCTTTCAACTTTCAAATTGCAAATATATTAATTATTTGCGGCCGCTGGGCTGAGTGTGAGTGTGAGTTGCTGCTGCGGTTACGATGAGCATTGAGGCGTTGATCTTCAGGTAGTGTTATGGTCGCTGAAGAAGAGTTGCAGAATGTTGCAGTTTGGTGGAGAGGGAGGAGGAGGAGGTGCTTGTGCTGCTGATAAATCAGCTAGTGTGCAAATGATAATAGTGCTGAGCTGCTGATTATGCATTCGATAATGATGCATCAATGAGATATTCGATCTTTCAGTGGGCCATGCTGCAGTGGTAGTGGTGGGGCAGAGGTGCTGAGCATGCTAATGCTGCTGACGATGATGCTGATGATGGTCGTGGTACAGCTGCTCGAGTTGTTGTTGTTGTGGTTGATGTTAATGTACAAAGGCAAACCACCACCAACGGCGGCAGTGTTTTGTTCCTCTGTTGATAAGCAAAACACCAGAGTACCACACAGTACAGTGAGAGAGAGAAGGAGCAGCAGTAGTACTTGTTGTTCCTTTGACGTCTCTGTGACTTTGATTGAGCAAAAAAGCACACACGCTACAGGATTGCTGGAAAAAATGAGGGAGATCAGCCCTGAGCGTGCAGCAGCAGCAGCATCACTCGGCGTCGTCGTAGTCGGTGGTGGTGGTGATGATGTTGATGGCTGCTGCTTCAGACGCTAGGAGATGCGGCAAGTGTGCATCGTCTTGGTGCACCACCGAGTACTGCCATCAACTCCAATGGACAACTGCAGTCTCTGCTGGCGATGTTCCTCCTGCAGGCGAAGTAGCGGTGGTCGTGGTGGTGGTGGTGGTGGTGGTTGTGGTGGTCGTATAGCTGCTCTTGCTGGTGCTAGTAGTCCTGTGGTTGCTTCAGAGCTTCTCTTCTCTTCGCTGAATGGTGGCCAGCAGCGGCACTACCACACTGTCACTGGTTACCGTTGCCAGTGGAGCGCAGCAAGGCATCAGCGGAGAGAGCGAGAGAGCAAGATCGGAGCAGCAGTACGCTGAACAGTACGGCAAGACAGAGTGCTGCTGTTGCTTGTGCCCGGCGAGTATAGCAAGCGACCGTTACACTGTACGATGAATGGTGGCGGCGGCGTCGGCGATGAAGAAGAAGACTACGCCAATCGCCGAGAAGGGGGCAAAGTCGCGACTAGTGCCGACGACAGGCGCAGCGAGTTAGACTGCAGAAAACAGGAGAGAGAGAGAAAGGCAACACTGCAACAGCAGACGGCAAATTGTTCCTGCAGACAGCAACAGTTTGCCGTGATACCTAGAGTGAAGTGAAGTGAAGTGTTGCTGTTGCTGCAGCAACTGACGGGAGACTCTGTCTGAATGAGGAGAAAAAGTCCGAGGCAATTAAGAGAGTCACTGGATGGCTGGCAAAGGCAACGCCGTCTTCGAGAGATTGTCTGTGTGCAGTGTGAGTGAGTCAATGACGCAAGAGAAGGTGCCGTAGATGATGCTGAAATTGATGCCGATGGTGAGGAAAAGTCTGCTGGGAAAGATTTACGAGATCGAAATCAACAGTGCAGTCATCGACAGTAGTCAGTTGTAGCCAGTGGTTAGCATCGCCGGCAAAAGGGTCAATTAGCAAGTGAATAGCTAGCTTCTTCTGCTTTTTCAGCTTCTTTGCCGGCGACTCAATTAAGACGCTGACAATTAAACCGGCAAAGAAGCGACGGCGGAGCTGCCGATACTGCTGATACGCTGGTTGGCCTGGTGATGTCTGCCAACTGCTGCTGCTGCTGTTTCAAGATCAAAGGCCTTTTCTCGCGCAATTGTTGTTTGCAGTTGCAGTTACAACCTTTAAAAATAAAAACGAGTGTTTCTAGATTTTGATTGATTTTGATATTTGGCCGTTAGACGATGCTTTAAAAATAGATTAGTTTTAAATAAATGCCTTTTTTCATCTAGTTTTTGCGGTTTCTGCCTTTTTAGTTGTTGCAAACAGCAGTAATAATGAGCATTCTGTCACAGCACACACAGGTGCTTTCATCAGTGTTGTAATCAGGCAGCATCAGATGCTGACAAAGAAGAAGAAGAAGAAGAAGGTAGCCTGGGCATCGGTCTGAAGTGCCGCAGTCTGCAGTGTCTGCCAATTAATCGACAGTAATGGGTGACCGCGTTGCGTTGAGTATGCAGACACTGTCTACCACTCTTCTTCTTCTTCTTTTGATCCCACTTTTTGCACTGCTCAAGAAGAACGCTGACATAACGGAGTTGCAAGTGCCAGCAACAGTGGCAGCATCAGCAGCAGTCCTCTACCGGCAGCATAATGGTAATTGCGGTTGCGGCTTCGGCGGCGGCACCGATAGCACTGCTAAAGGCCGAGGACAGAGGAGTGCTCTGACTGACTGAGGCTGGAGAGAGAAAAAGCCTGTTGCAGCTGATGCGGTTGGCGTTGAGGTGCCGTAGACGACGACGACGATGATGACGATGATGATGATGATGATGATGCTTGTTGCTGCGGCTGCTGTTGCTGCCGTTAGCAGTCCCTCAGCGAGTGACAACAAAGACAACACGAGTTGCACAGAGTGATCACAGATCAGCCATAGATTGGCGCACGTTCCTCCTCCTTCTGATTGAGATGAAGAGGCAGATTTAGTGGGCCAGTAGAGCGGTGATGATCGAAGATTTGCTGTCTGCAGGCAGTCCGAGTTTGCACAACTGCCGAGGTTCAGCCTGCAAAAACAAAGCACTTCTAAAGTCCTCTCTTTGAACGCCTCTTCTATTACGCACTTTGGTCATTGATTCAGTGCACTGATTGCACTGGTTAGTTTC